TCTCAATACTTTGCTACCGGGGTATATCGCCGCGGCACGTGTCTGGATTCAAGATTACATGTCATTGTTCGGGCGACCCCAATCTCTTTTTTTTTTAAGACGACCTTGTCCAAGTTGGCTTTTCAAAGACGGGAATTAAACAGGCGCGTTGAATTAAAACTACTTGGCGATTTGAAATTGTGACGATTGTCCTTCAAGAAAAGATGATGACCGTCGCTCCTTTCATTGGGGGACTGATTTGGACCCAATAACGTCATGGACGCCTCTATTGTGATACATACGTGTAAATAACGAAGGGGACGATTTTTTGCCATTAGCGTCCAAAGAGTCATCTTCGAGTCATTCAGATACAAAGGGATCATCACGTTAATTGCACTCTCAGTACTCGTTATACATTGAAGAGGATTGACTCATTTTGTTGTTTTGAATGCAGCTGTGATAGCCACCGTTTTCTCGTTTTAATCTTTGCCTCTTCGATATTATACTGATTGTGATTATCTGAAGAGCCAGGTCCGCGTCAGGAACCCACCACCCCCACTCTCCCTATAACCTCAAAACATGCAGATTTCAGATTATCTCACCCTAGTTAGTACAAATACCATCTTGGCCCAGTATTTTGTAAAACACGTTCGGTGAAGACTTAACCAAAGTCACGTATACAAATGATATGCAAAACAATTTTTTTGATAAGTTTTCTTTTATCTCTTTATAAAAACACACTGCGGGACAACCATTAATTGGATATGGGGATTTACATAAGATTTCACATTTATGATCCATTTCAATTAAGAGACCGTTATCTTTATATGGCCTAGATAAGCCGTAGTTGTAACCCAGTAACAGATCACACCAAACTCTTATAACCATGTGAATCATGTAACTCAGTGATAAACTCTATCTAAGCTAAATTGTTTTGGAAGATATTTAAATACAAGAAACAAATAAAACGGTCGGTTTTTAAAGCAATGAACCGAGCTGCTAAAATATAACAAGCAACGTAAAGCCGAATTTCAAATTTCGTTCGCCGCGTGAATTGTGGCGAATTAACAATATCGCATCATCGTTGTTGAATTATTACTAATAAATTTGTGATCATTTATTCTGATCGCACTCATAGATTAAACTCGTAAGAATCCTCAGTTCTAGACCCGGACTTCACTGGGAGGCGCGAGCGAGCACGCTGCCCGTGCCAGTTCTGCGTGGATCACTCACTGACCACTTTCTTTTAAGTCATACTACCAAGTGTACATGGCGCGTGTGTTGTCACTGATATGGTGTTATTGTTATCACTTCTCTGACGTAATGGCTCGATAGGTCCGATTATGACCTTCCGGGCGGAGTATACCGATAGCTCAAGTGTCACGCGACCAGTACTCATCTAGTTGCAAGCATTGTGTTATGAAAACTCGTTTCCACGCAGATCAACGGTTTTGATGATTAAATTAAAAAAAGTTGTTGACATGATACTCAATGGTTGTCATTCATTGTGTACGGTGAAGTGTAGTGTGCGTGTCACGTTGTTAAGGTACACTGCGCAGACTCGCACGACATTTGCAATCTCATTTAAGCCATGCACAAAAAGTGTTGCGTATATTTTGATCCGAGTGAATAAATGAATGAACACAAATAAATAAATAAATAAATAAATAAATAAATAAATAAATAAATAAATAAATAAATAAATAAATAAATAAATAAATAAATAAATAAATAAATAAATAAATAAATAAATAAATAAATAAATAAATAAGTAAATAAATAAATAAATAAATATGTATATGTTTTACTGTGTCACGAAATAGCAGCCCATGTAATATGAATGTTTTGTTATCTGATAATTGTATGTAATAACTTTATCGATATCCAACGATATATTGTGTAATGTGGAAATTAGATATAACGGCATATACGTTAATTGTCAACTTAGATGATAAAATACCCTACGAATACAATCTAAACTGACGGGGGTAGGATTGGGACAGTGCGCGTTGATATTTACGACCCGGTAGTTAAATGTGTATCGTCGCCATTACACGAATTCAACCAGAATAGATGTCCATTTCATAGACCTCACCCTTTATACGGGGTAGATTCATTGAAACACTCTTTGAACTTGGCCTTCCTTGTCCGTAAGCTAATTACAGAGATTAATGGTTATTGCTGGACGTAAACGCGGGTTACTGGTTAATGGGCGTGCATGCGTTTTCCCCTCCATTCAGGCCAGTTAGTGAGCCGTACACTCAGACCACTTGGCATCACTCCTCCGGGCACGTGTCGCTCAGCCTCTCCTGCGAGCGAGCAGCCTAGCCACCCAGTAACTATGACAGCGTTCAGCAGGCGACAGTGCTAATACAAACACCAGAGAAGCGCATTATATGGATTCTTTTACCTTACAATAAGTTTACCGATTCATCACATGATAGCTGGCTAATGCCGACAGGACTTAAGCTTTATGCACAATAACACTGTACTTTGCTTTATAGACCAGCAACGAAGAATAGCCAAATATAGAAACGGTCGCAAACTATTATTTGTAAATGCAATTATTAACAAATATGATGACGGTTGTGTGGGTTTTATCAGCGACCAAATCTCTCTGAGTGGACTGATATGATGTTGGGTTCATTCTGGCGATTTCGCGACATCGGCGATAGTTTTCAGGATCATACCAGCTTTCAGTTCATTACATTTCACACTGTATCGCGCCATGACTATTTTAGCGTACAAGTTCAAAATGTTAAATGCCCTCAACAAAAAAAAAGTTTAATGAATTATGCTTCTATCATATAACAACTGCTCTTCCCCAAAAATGCTGAATAATGTCACGGTGCATGACGTACGTTCTGTTCATTATTTCTCCAAGTGAACGTAATTATCAATGCCAGGGAGTCATTGAATACAATATCAGAATAACTTGATAGCAAACATTCTTTCCCATTCGAAATCATCGGTGGCAATCACCTAAAAATAATGTAGAGACCTAACATTTGAAGCTCCAGCTACAACAAATATGATTCGTGATGAAACTAACTATTAGACATAATATCCTTCTTTTCCTTATTGAAAATAAGTGTGAACAATGAAAATAACTCAATCTCGTGGTAGTTATTTGAACGATTTCAGTTTTTTTCACGGAAATCACTCCATTCGTGAAATTCAATAAAATTGTCAATCACTAAGACACGTTCTTGAGACAACCATTATTATAATAAGTCGCGATCACCTAAACCACCCCGCTTCAAATACACCACAGGGGTTCCACATTAAAGGACCGCGCTTCATTTTTTTTCGCGAATTTTGTTCTACTTCGGTATAAACGTGACAATTTCAAACGAATGTTTGAATTGTTAAAAGGTAAAATTTCTGAAAAAAACAACAACAACAACCTGAACTTTAACAAATTAAGACCTGTATTTTTGATCTGATCACGCAACAGATGCCACGCATCGTGTAAAGCGAAAAAAAAATACAGGGTGAATTTCCGATCGGCGCCGTCCAAACGGTGAAAATATAATATCCGAGTTTCGCTTTAAAAAGTGCAAAAAAATGGCGACAGATGGCGTTGTGTGGATGACAGGTGAATGGGGTCACGTGACTTGGTAATTTCATTGGGTGGATAGAGCTCCTTCCACATTATATATAGTACTATCAACACAGCAATTCGATCCCCGACTAATTGCTCTTCAATAACCGTTTCTGCTTTTTGCTCGCTTTTTAGCGATGACGTCATTTAATAAAAAAAGGCGAGTCGTTTATTTTACGATGATCACAGTGATACTGATCTGCGTAAGATTTTTAAAAATGGCAGAAATCTGGAAACACTGATCTCAATTGAGTTCCGTTGTAGTTTATCCATCATATATTATATCAAGTTGTGAAAATTATGGCGAACCATATCGAAAAACATTACAATTACAAATTAACATCGGGTTTTTGGCCTCAAATTGGATGAAAATAATTATTGCACTTTCTTATACAAGCGGAAACTTTTTTAAAAACAAGTTTGCTTTCAAATTATTATAATAATAATGATTTTTTATTGATTATTCAGAGTTATCAAATTATTTCGTGACACAACATGAAAGTACGTGTATAAATTTCTGGTGTAAACTATTTTATGAGGAAAGTAATGCATCTCCGTTGGCCAATCCCCTTAAAGAACTAATTCCATAAATCGACTCGAAGAGGGGGGGGGGGCTCTCTTCTCTACTTCACATTTTTAAAACTCTATTCTGGTACAAGTATCACGTAATTGAACAATCACAGACCATTTGACTTCGCATGCGTATCACGTGCTTATTAGCGAGTGCATTTTAGTATTAGGTCGTAAAAGGAGAGAAAATTCAGACGATTTTTTTGCGAATATGATAATTAAGTATAATGTTGTCGGGGTATCTACAAACTTAGTAGATGAGTGACGTTGATTCACTTTCGATATATGCTATAGTTGTATAAACTGTCTACTACGACTCGGTTCAATGGGCTGATGTAGGTTTGCCAGCACAGTTTCTTTCAACGCAATGAGTGTGTGTGTGTGTGTGTGTTTTTATTTTTCGCTCGCGCACATTCGAAATAATCTAGACATAGCTCGTTTGTACAAACAACACATCGCCTGGATACACGAGCCAAAATTGAGTCATCTATCTAACGGACCGAAAAGCACGGATATTAATTAACACAATTATGTAATAATAATCACAAACAAGCGCCAGTGCTAGGCGCACGCGCAGGGGCGTCATCCACGTGCACGGCTCCCCTCTTGCTGACAAGCAAGTGGAAGCTGGCCAGATATATGCTCGCTAATGCAACTAACATTCAGTCGCCTATCCAAGCATCATTATGCTACAACCGCTCCATTTCGACATACATGGGACGGACGTAAAGGGAATGAGAATATAGATTACAAAAAAAAACTTCTAACAGGGACGGGTGTCCGATTGGAGGATTGACAGGAACTGTATTTAATTACAGTGTGGATACACAGAAAAGGAATCGATTGGTTTTCTTTATGATGTCTTTATTGCAAGTCGCCCTTCAATACGATACAATGCACAATTAAGTCAACATCCTCTTTCATTGTTTTCACAAGGCCCATAGTGTCTGACAGAAAACAGGATCGTTAAATCTTGCCAAATGTTTTAAAATTGTTCTTCAATTCAGCAACACAGATTGGAATAACTTGGATGTGTTCGTACAACTGACTCATTGTTTTGTTTTGTTTTTTCAGAAATAAATAAATAATACAAACGCTTCATATAATGTCTATTATAGTCTCTGTCTAATAGAACACTATTTGTCTATACGTAAAATCAGCAGCACTTTAGAAAGATTTATTCTGTCCTGAATGTACAAACTTGTCTTGTTGGGACTTCATGGCGACAAACAATCATCGTCTGACATCGTGCTGTCAGAACTTACTGACGACAACGGCGTTGAGGGTGTGTGCAAAGGCGATTCAGACGATGACGAGACGCCGTTGTTGTCGACGTCGGCAGCGTTATCGATGTAGCTATTTTTGATGTAAAAAAGTTCATGTCGTGAGCAGTTTGTATGAAATCTTTTGGTTCCCATTCTATCGTCACATCCGGCTGACAATCGTTTGGATCTGTTTCAATCAACTTTAGCATCTGAGACAGGGCCCATATATAGTTATGTGCAAATCGCAAAGTTTCGATTTTTGTGAGCTTCGTGTCATCTGGGAATTTCGGAAGGACGTTGCGTAATCCATCTAGAGCTTCGTTCAATGTGTGCATTCGGTTCCGTTCGCGATCGTTCGCCTTCAGTCGGCGGTTTTTCTTAATACGCACCAAACACGCAGGACTCCGGTTTTTGCATCGAGTTTTTGTGTAACGTTTTCTCTTACTATGTCCTGTCTTTGACGTCTTGTTATTGTCTTTGTGTCGTCGCTGTTTTGTTTCCTTCGCCATGCTTGATCTATTCTGATGATGTGGACAGTGTTCTTCCATGTATAGATGACACTCACAGCTTTTCCCAATGTAGTCGGTAGCTGTGGCTGGTGGTCTCATCATTCACCCGCCTATGAATAGGAAAAAAAACATAGACACGTGAGGAAGGAGTCATGCCGGAAATCCACGATCAGTTTAAAATAACGCTGTTCGCGTGTCGAGTGGCCCTCACAGAGGAAGCCCCTTGCCGTTTATCTCATTTACCATAATTACGCTGGTGCTTCGTGGCATAAAGGGAAATACTATACACAAGTGCGTGAGCTCTCTGTAAAATTGTTTTCCGGTATATATGGTACGATGACAGAGTGTTACAATATGTAACCACGACACTCGCATCGATGGCTCATCAAAAGCTAGCAGTATACACGTAATAAAATGGTCTTATAACGGTCAATAAGTCGCTAATCACATTCCGTCTAAATATCCGTCAATTGTTTCAAATTAAAAACCTTTAATTAGTCAAAGCGCTAATCACACATTCAGTGTCACGTTATGTGAGAATATTAATTACGTTCATACACCTACCTTGGGCAAATGAAATTCTTGTTGCACCTTGTTCCTAAGTCGACTCAATGGTGAGTTGCTGAACTACAAGTGGATCCACCTCACTTTGACTATCGCTTCGCCGTGATCGGGGTAGTTACTCGTTGTATGTACTGCCAAATCGTCACAGCCCCTACAGACCAGTACAGATACTCACTGCATTACCCCGGACTATTCGCGTGGCAATTACATGTCCGAGACAAGTCTATAGTTTATATACCGTATCCGTGCACACAATACCCGATAGGTTTTTGTATTGGTTAACAAAGCATTTCCCCACTTTGGCCAGCCCACTGTTCGGTTTCGTATTCAGTCGTCAATACCTCAGCTTCAGCTCCCGGGTCGGTTACAGTGGCCAGCCAATGGCGAGCGATCTCGCAACTTGGTACTTGAGGGCCAATCAATGAGCAGAACGAGCCATTAGTTCGACTAGACGGGACCGTATATTGCTTTATTCTCCCTGTTTCATGATTATGCACTCGGCATCATCTCCATTCAACAAACCTTGTTAAGACGGGGCTGATATTCTGTATACTTCACAATACACGCCACATATGTTATATTTTGCACTTTTTGTCCCAAGCTGAAAAAATATGGGATATCAATTATTTGTACGTTAGCAGGCCTTGTTTTCGCGATACACAAGTACAGCCTGCCCTTTGCACAGATTTGAAATGTTGATTTATCTTTGACTGATTTTAAAAGGGGCTATTTTTCACTGGAAGAAAGAGTGGAATGGAAGGGGGACCCCGTGGTGTACGCTGACATACTGAGTTTCTCTCCGTTAGATTCTCCATACTCTGCAGCTGTAGTCGTATCTGCAGCCGTAAATCTCGTCTGCGGAGCTAAACGACACATGTATTTCGCATTTTCGCTCAATGACCCCATTGGTAGTATAATGAAGGTCACCCAGCTTAGAATGTTACGGCGACGGTCTGCGCTTCGACCCGCTTTACGCCCAACAAACTCCCGTTTGTCAAAGAAAACCTACACACTGTCACCTCTATTCTATGCGCATGCGCACTTAATCAAAAGCGCGTTTTTGCAAACTTTTAAAAAGTTTTTTTCCGACGGGAAAAACAACTTTCGCGCACTTTCGCGCCACAAAAAGTTGCATTTTTCGTCGCAACTAGTCGCGCAAATGTTTTTTCCACTGTGTTTTCCCGCTGCCAACCCATTTTATGTTGACATTATCTCGGCTGCGTTGCATAGGCAGTAGAACGCTTTGCCCAAACAAACGCGATACAAAGCCGAACTCAATACCCCACCTGGTTCCTTCCATTTACTAAAACACTAATAAACACCTCTCTTTCATGTCTATTAAATTGTATACTTAATTAGTGGTACTTTGGGAGCATTAATCATTCATTTGGCGGTCTGCTGGCGTCTGTGTCTTTCACCTGTCTCTGCCATATTGTGGGTTATTGTTCGGCCGGCGCGTGGCGTGAAAGAAAATCGCTGTGGCACGATAATTTTGAGCGTGTCGCTACAGCAACATCGCCTACTTGTTTACCGTCCGTAGGAAACACGGCATTGATAAAATCAACTAGCTGTTCTTTTTAGTGGCTCCCACGTGCTTCTCTAAATGTGTTTCCATTTACAAGTCTCTGGTCGCGATGCAAGCTCCCCTTTTTCCCCCTTGCATAGTTAAAGAAGAATGTTCTGTTCACCATGCCCTCTTCGACTCATATTTTTCCTGATTAAATATTACTGGTTTGGCGCTCACATCTGCAGGTTTCTCCCTTCTAGGAACGGTCCCATTGTGCGGTTCTCGAACGGCCAAAAACAAAGGCGCTTCAAAGTAAGTTAGAGGGTTTGCCTGGGTGCACGTTGTCGATATTGTCTATCGGAATAATGTATGCCTGGTTCGCACAATAATTACTTTGTCCATTTCCTACCGTAACAAAGTAACGTAAGAGTAAAGTTTGCCATACACTCCGTCACCATATGCCGTAGCCCTTTCGTTTATTCTCGCCGGTATTGCTAGATCGTTCTCTCCTCTATCGTGACTCCGTTGTCAAAAAATGGCCACTAGACTGAACAACAACTTCAAAGATGTCTGCATTTTGATGTCTTTATTGGCTTACCCTATAAATCTTTAAAAGCGATTTTGCTAGTAAAATTCCAGTCACGAGTCACTCGGTCGTCCCTTTTAAATTAATAGCACTTTCCACCTTCCTAATTATACCAACATTTCCTGTTTACATCGACACCGCGTCAAACCGCGTTTCGTTAAACCGAACATGGTGGCAGATATTTTTCAGTATGATATTTTTTGCGCGAAATGTTTAATGTCCTTGCAGACGACAAGCTGCCGATTTCAGCGACCTGATTAGGAACCTGTCACCGCAACATCCTCGCCTCGACCCGACGCAAAGCATCACGGGTAATCTCCTCCTTGACAAAAGAGAACGAAATGCGCCTTTTCTTTGTGGCAACCGATATAAGACCAATGCTAGGTTTGCTTTGAGTAAAACTTTTCTGTGCTTCAAAATGACTTTTTTTTCTGTCATATAATATTTTGTTATAAAATATTTTCATTCGAGTTATTCGCTGTTTTAGATGTCAGTGTACGAATCACTGCCCCGTTATTTTTTTGTTATCGAACTCCCGCACTCTTTTATCTCCTGTTAACAATGACAGGGCCACCTCACCTGTTCGTCGATGTCGTTCAGTGGATGTCAAGAAGCTGTTGGTGCGACTTTCGGCTTACAGGTGGCTGTCCATTTATTTCTATTCACATAAAGACGCGAATGGCCTAAAAGTGCACGCTTGGAACTTGAATTGATTTGATCTGCGTATACATGTATGCATGTATGTGCCCACTTTACGGTTCGTGTGACTAGCACGGTGAGAAGGGGGCTAAGAGACAGGTGCAGCGAACTGTTGATGCCTCTAAAACCAGATCTCCGCTGGAATCAACGAAAAACTAGTTTAAAAAAAAAACAGTATTTGAATAATGACGCCACTCATAGAACTCGATGTGACGTGAATTATATACAGCATATACCAAATGAGATGCAACCATTTCAGATACTATTAACGCACTGCAAGTAATTTATCTTGTATGCATTTTTTGCAATTTCGTCTAAACATTGTTTTTCTCTCTATTTGATGACACGAATATTGTGTTGGTCACAAAAAAGGATGATATTTAAAAAAAATACATCAATGTATTATGGACGACTGGTATGATTGAGTAGCTAAGTATTGATGCGAGTTAGTGCTACCCACCATTGCTTCATACTTCGTTTAATGTTATATAAAATGTAGGTGGTGCCAACAAATTTAGACAATCAGAGATAATCTATCGTCTTCATATCAAGTGGGAATGAACAGTTTAGAAAATAAGTCATAACAAATCCACCTAATTGTATTATAAATAAAATTGTCACTGGATATATTTTAGGAGCCCTAAATATACACATCAAATCGATTGAATTTATACTTTTTTCAGTTACGACGACGCTGTGTTAAATGTTCAAACCACCAAGAATGGCCGCGTGCAGACTAAGCAGACGACAATTCGAGTACCTGGCTTCCAACAAAAATCTAATTTGACAAACTTTTTCACCCATGAGTGCAAACGGCTGCAGTAGAATTAAGTAGCCATGATCTATTGTCGGTCTATGTCAAAATCATCCACGGAATCCTCTGAAATTGTGTGGTATTACAAATGGAAACTTTGACAGAGGCAGTTGGACGGCGGGCGGGCGTTGTGTCGTAAATCCCATAAATACCGTGATACAGTGCAACGACTGGTTGCACTATACATGTAGATAAATCACGTCCGTGCCCCTGTTTTATATTTGATTTGGATGGGAGCTCTTTGTCTGGAAAATCGTCCCATGTGTGACTAGTTAATTAGTTTGGTGTCAATGTCACTAAAATGGCTACCGGGCTTTGAATATACTCTGTCTCTACGAACGAAGATACCATTTCATGATATTTGAGTTTGTTCGATGATATTTTGGCCTATTACTCGTTTTCGCCTAACAATGTATGCACGTGAGTGAATATGTTAGGTCTTCCTAACTAAACCGTCAAACCAATTGGGAATGCGCTCTTTGAAACAGGGCTCGTACAAGAGTCGATCGAACCATACTTTGTCATCATGGTCCTCTGATTGTTTTACAATTTTTTGTTCCTTTAAAAACATGACGCGGTCTGATTTCGTCAACCCCATGTTTCCACTGTGAACGCTTCTCCGCAAGTAGAAGGTTCGTATGACAAAACTTTGCGCATATCAATATATCCATTATCCAGAACATTCATATTTGGTTGAAAATAAACATCTTAAAATGGTGATTGTGGCAAAAGGGATCTACTTGTTGAAGCTGAAACATATTTATGGTAATTACACAATCAATCATTTTTTCTTTGAATTCGAGTAGGTAGACTTGTACATAAAAGCCCTCATTTGCTCTCTTTACCCTGTCCTTAACCCCGAGACTTGGCTACCTAACTCGTGTTTTTGTTTCGAATTAGTTATTCCCGCATGAAGCCGTCAATTCCGATTCTAGTGTTTGTTGTGCACATCATGGTCGTTGTCGCGCTACTCAAATGCGCAAAGAACCAAGTTCAGACCACTGTTCAAGTTCATGTTGCTATCAAATTAAATAAAACTTGCCATCATTATACCAGTATGCGCGAAACTATGCTATTTTTTCTGGCGATACTTCGCGGTTGCATCAAGGTCAAATAACGACGTGGTCCTTTCAAAGTTTACTGCTGTCTACAATATTTCTGAGGCTAGAAATAAGCTGTATACTTTTCACAATTTGAAGTTGGTGGCGTTCTTGCGCATGTACAAACCAGTGGAAAGGTCAAGGGTCAGCAAACGATCTCTACAGTTTCAACAGTTTGAATATTTGGAATTTCAAAAATACAATATCTAAAATTGATTTAAAATCACAGTGTTCTTCAAGAGGATAATTGATTCGGAATATTATTGTTTGAGCATTATTTGACCTTTAGAAATATCGACGTTCAAATACAATATTTTCGAATACTAGCGGAAACACACCAGACGTTATAGTACTCCTTCGTGAAATGTCAATCGAACGTCCCTAACTTGATTACCACTCCCATTGTCATTATTACCTTCGATCATATTCAAACGCACCCTGACCGCACAGACAACCTCGGCAGACCACTCA